TGCTTAGGGGAATCTCGAAGACTGGCTGGTCACCAATGTCAAAGGAAAGCAGCTGCCCTGTGAGGAAAGGGACGATCAAACCACAAGCTCCCCTGCTTAACGCAACAGACACATCTACCAGGTTGTCAATTCCACGTGGACAAGGTGTTGGAACTATTTTGTGCAAGACACAGTGCCTAAAGCACTTACAAGTGCTTGGTAAATACACAAGGAACACACAAATTGGGAATGAGAGCAGTGGCAGAAGGAAGAGAAAACAAAGCAGGGAGGAACTGAAAACCCTTCACCCCAAACCTTTTCCCCCAAACCTTGATCTTTCCCAAGACTCACCACCAAACTTCACTGTCCCCCAGTTCCAGCCCTTTACACATAGGTCTTTCTCCATTAGCTCAAGGCGATAATGCGTTTTGAAGAAATCAGCAAGTTTCTCAAACTCCTGTCAGTGGAAGGAAGAAAGCACAATCCCAGCAAATCCACAAAGCCTTCACACAATTCAAAGCTTTAAGGATTATCTATCTCAGAAAAACTGCTCCAATCAGAAATCCACCACGAGCTGGCGCTGGTGGCTCACGCCTATAATCCTAGCCACTCGGCCGAGATCTGAGGATCATGGTTCAAAGCCAGCCTGGGGAAGGAAAGTCCATGAGACTCTTATCTCCAATAAAACCACTAGAAAACCAGAAGTGGCGCTGTGGCTCAAGCAATAGAGCACTCGCCTTGGAGCTGAAGAGCACAGGGACAGCGCCCAAGCCCAGAGTTCAAGCCCCACGACCGCCAAAAAAAAAAAAAAAAAAGCCACCAAGGACTTAGTAACACAGTTCTCAAAGTGTTCCAACGGTTATGGAAAAGAGGCTGTTTCTGTGCCCTAGCCTCAAGCTAGGGAAGGGATACAGTACTGATTTAGAAAAAGGCCATGTAAACTTTTTAAACTTTGTATAGTTATGATGGAAGTGGACATTAAAACCAAGCTAACTTGGAGAAAACTAACTAAACCAAGACTATGAAACACAAAGTGGAAACCACTGTTAAGACAGGAGAAAATTCTGGCCTCAAGGCACAAAGAAAGTCACGTGACTGTGACTGACACTACTCAAAGCTAACCATGATTATTCAATGGCCTCAAGAACCCAGCTCTAAAAACCACACAAAGTATCAGTGACTGTGGTAATCAGAGGAAGGAACTCCCAACTCTTGGTAGATTCCAGTGAGATGGGGTACGGCAACAAGAAGTCTCACCGATTCTCGGAAGCCGTCATACTTGTAGACATGGCCATTTTTGGTGAGCAGTTTAAGTCCGTGGCCCAGGGCTACGCGGCGCCAGATGCCTTCCGTCAACTCCCCAGCTTGGATGTTGTCCACTTTGCCTGTCTTGCTGTTCTTGAACATGACACCCTGGCGACTCAATCGCAGCCGGCCGTCATTCTGTCGGAAAAGTAGACCCAGATGCAGGAAGGACGGACAAGAGTGCACAATGAGGTCCAGTTCTACTCTTACTCCCCTTTCTGGCTGTTAGGGGACTGACTAGAGTATTGAGGGAATACTAAGTGCCAGAAAGAAGAACGGACAACCTGGAAGTATGAATTCTAAACCTAGCTCTGGCCTCCAAAAACGCTTGCAGGTCCTCAGTTTCCTGGTTTGTAACATAGTATCTACCATCTCTTCTAAATCCACCGTCCTATCATTCTTGAGACTGGGCAATCTGCGGCAGACGCCATGAGATACACATTATCCTGAGTATAAAAGGATAATTTTGTTACCCCACACATCATCTAAGTTAAGCTTTTGTTCATGGATTGTACCCTCTTTCCCTCGGTCCCTCTGCGTGGAAAGCCCCTTTCTCACCATGGAGCCTTTCACCTCCTGATAGATGTCGTTGAACTCCAGCGTCTCTGCCATGTCGACCTGCTGTGTCGGCCTGGGCGCGGGGGCCCTGCCTGGGAAAGTGAATTAACCTGGGAGCCTGGGTCCCACAAACTCTTGGGTGTGCGGATGGATGCTCCCTCAGCAGGGCGCGAACCTGAACGCGGGAGGAAGGGAAACGAGCACGAAGAGCGGGGGGGAGGGTGGGGGGGGGGGTCCGTCAGGTGGCAGCCCCCCACCCCACCCACCCTGCGCCGCACCCGGGCCGGCTCCAGGGTCCCCTCTGCGGGTGCCCACCCCCACCCCCCATCCCCAGGGCCAGGCCCACACTGGCCTGGAGCAAGCGCTGACACCCCAGGCCGACACCCCTCCACCGGGAGCCATGGCAACGAGCAGCAGCCCACCCCCCGCCCCTCACCCCCGCCAGGACCCGCACCTCCGCTCGGCCCCGAGTGCGAGTTCCCCACCCCGCGCTCCGCCCCGACCCCGGGGCTCCAGACCCACGCTTCTCCCCCCGTGTGTAAAATGGATCCGCCCGCGGCCCGCCGATTTGAACGCGGAGCGGTCCATCCGGAGCCGCACCGCGGGGGGGGGCGGGAAGCAGGGCCCGGGCCCGCCGGGAGCTCGGGGACCGCGACCACCCACCTCTCGTAAGCCGCGGTCTCGCGACGATCCCTAGGGCGCGGGCGGTGGGCGCGCTGGGGGCCGCGGGGGAGGGGGCGGGAACACCGGGGGCCGCGGGGACGCTGGGGAAGCTTTTCCCGCGTGCGCAGCCCCGCGTCCCGCCACCGGAAGTCGCGCCCCGACCATCGAGACGCCGGGCTGGCTAGAGAGGCGCTGACTCGGCGGACCCGACCCGCGACCGTGGCTCTGGCGGACTCCTGCCCTACCCGGCTACTCGGGAGGCAGGGATCTGAGGATGGCGGTTCGAAGCCAGCCCGGGCTGGAAAGTTCGTGAGACGCCGATCTCTAAATTAATCACCCAGGGGCGGGGGTGGGGGGTGGCTCGAGGGGTAGAATGCCAGCCTTGAGCGGAAAATGCTCAAGAGGTGGCCTCTGGGCCTTGAGTTCAAGGCCCAGGACCGGTTCCAAGAGAGAGAGAGAAACAGAGACAGAGAGAGATCGTTAGGGGGAGAGGTCGTTAGAAAGTTACAGGCCCTTCTTCAAGGAGAGGCTAGAATCCAAAGGGAAGTGTGATTGTATGTTACTACACTTTCCTTGGTGGTAGCGGTCCTGGGGCTTGAACCCAGGGCCTGGGTCCTGCCCCCGAGCTAGGAAGGCTAGGACACTACCACTTGGAGCCACTGCACCATTTCTAGTTGAGCTTTATTTTGTTTTGTTTGGGGCGGTAGTTCATTGGAGACAAGTCTCTGGCCTTTCCTTCCCAGGGCTGTTTTTGAACAGTGATCCTCGGATCTCAGCTGTGCCCTATCAAGTTGAGATTGAATTGTTTCTGAAATGAGTTTATTGTCTGCACCCAACGTTTTCCCATCTATAACCGCAGTTTATGGCTTCCCTGGAAGGGGTTAGAAGATGGCAGCATCAAATTCAAGTGCTGGTGTCAGGTTTAGCTTAGAGGCAGAACTGGTTTGAAATCATATCAGCCTGAGGTGACCTGACCAATGTGCACATGCACACGTATTTGTGCTCGCACACACACACACGTCCCTGGGTTTATCTTGCAAAATCCAAAAAGGCCAGGCCTGAAACAGAAATTTGAGTTTTTCTCTGTGTGTGTGTGTGTGTGTGTGTGTGTGTGTGTGTGTGTGTGTTCACAGCTACTGAGGCTTGAACTCAGGGCCTTGGCACTGTCACTTAGCTTTTAGTTAAGGTAAGCTGGCACTGTACCAACTAAGCCATACCTCCACTTCTGGCTTTTAATGGTGGTTAATCAAAGATTGGAGGTAAGAGCCTCAGACTTCTCTGCCTGGGCTGGCTTTGAACTATCATTCTCAGATCTTCGCCTCCTGAGTAGCTATGATTACAGCTGTGAGCCACTGGTGCCTGGCCTCTACTCCTACTTCTTTTTGTAGATAATAAAACAAGCTCAAAGAGGAGTTGCCCAGGGTCTCAGAGATTTGGCTACAAAGTTAGAGACAAGAATCCAGATCTCCCTCACACCAGTCCCATTCTCTTCTGACATTATCGCAGTGGTTCTGTGTACAGAGTGATTGATAATACATAGAGAAGATTTAAATGTACTATTTCCCTGATAATCATTGTACCCCATGCCTGCTTAGAGTCTTGGCTTTAACCTCTAGGTTAAGCAGTGCTATTTCCTGTACTCTCTGGCAATATAAATTCAATGGACTTTAATGCATATATGTTGGAGAGTCTATTATTAATCCGCCACACCTCTAGGATTTGAGAAAACTACTGAATGTGATGAAAACTGTCCCGGCCTTCCAGAAGTGCATAACCAAATGAAAAGTGAAAATCTAGATAATACAGTAAGCACACACACACAAGCACACACAACCTTGACAAGTTAGAGCTCCAGCAATCACCAAGTGATTAGAAATATATGACTGCCAAGAATGGGGGCGTCACACCTGAAACCCCAGCACTCAGAAGGCAGCAATGGGAGGATCACAAATTTGAGACGAACCTGAGCTCCATAGCAAGATTCTGTCTCAATAAACAGAGGGAGAAGAAAGAAAATAGGAAGGGAGGGAGGGAGGGAGAGAATAACTTGTTACCCCATTCCTGGGAGACCTAGAAAAATGTTCCCCTCCCCCTCAATGCAATTGAGGAAGGGAAGGGATTGCCCCCCCACCCCCAAATCCAGTGGCAGCAGGCAGCTTACTCCGGAGGGAAAGGGAGCACTCAGCTGAGGTAGCCCCTGAGGACTGGGGGAGGGGCCATCACGGGGGCTTTAGGGAGAGCCCGAAGCAGCTGGTGAGCTGGGGTGAGAGAGCAACCTATGTGAAGAAAGCAGAAACGTTAGACAGAGAGCCGATAAAACATGAGTCCCAGGGGGCCCTAGCCAGCAGCATCCCAGGCAATCAGGAGCCCAGGACTGAAGACCCCACCCCTGCTGTGACATCACCGGGGAGTGGGGTGGAGACGGAGATAAAGGGGGTCACCCACCCACACACACCCCTGCCTGCCCTGGCCCTGGACGGTTGCCTGTCAGAGTGCTAATAGCAGAGAGAGCCTGGGTACTGGGCTGGGATTGCACGGCTTACAGGAATAGGTTCCATTCCTGGAGTCCCACCAAGCTGCCCCCTCCTGGCCCCTGTCTCCCCGCCCTGAGGTCCTCTCTTCTGCTGCTGAGGTGGCCATCGGACCCCTTCTGGGTGGCCCCTGAGCACTCTCTCAGCATGAACTGCATATCCGACTTCTTCACCTATGAGACCACCAAGTCAGTGGTGGTGAAGAGCTGGACCATCGGGATCATCAACCGTGCAGTTCAGCTTCTGATCATCTCCTACTTCGTGGGGTGAGTCTGTGGCCCTTCAGGTCTTCCAATGGGATTGCTCCCTGGTGTCCTTCCCTGTCTTCTCCCTCGGTGCTACCCTGCAGCCTCCTGGACGTCTCCTCTCTTGAGGGGAGACACACATTGTTTGGTGGCAGGGTGGGGGCGGGTGATCCATGATCTGAGGGATTGAGTCCAAAAGTAGATTCTTTCTCCTGGTAAATCCTCCAGGCTTGGACAGTGGTTTCTAGACACGCACACTTCAAGGGATGGGGTTCTTTTCTCCGGCATTACTCTCCACCAGAAGTCCCGGGCGATTCATCTCCCCCACCTCTAGAAGAGGAAGAAGCCCTCTCCCCATCATCTTTCATTTCCCTCCGACAAGTCTCAGGGGTCTCAGAAAGACAAGGGAGCCCGGACCTCAAGGAGCTGGGGATGGTTGACTGGGTTGATGTTGAGTGGAAGGGAGGACTGTCCGGAGAGGAAAGGAGAAAGCTGGATTTGATTTAGCATGAATTCCCTCTGGGCAGAGGCAAGGTACCAGGAGCATGGAAAGGTGAGAAAGTCTTGTTTGGAAGGTAGGACTAGAGAGGGAACCTGTCCCCCCACCCCACCCCTGCCATGCCATGGGAATGATGCCAGGGAAGAGTTGCGGAGAAAAGTAGCTTTTCCGATGTCATCTTTGATCCTTTGCAAAGAATACAGAAATGCTTCCCTTTGTAAACAACAACAGCAACAAAAGTATACATTTCCTAGTTTCTTTGCTTCTCTGCCATAAAACGTATCCAGGTGGTTTCTTTTATTATAATTATTATGATCATGATCACTTATTATTTTAAGTAGCTGTACAAAAAGGGTTTCGATTCAACATGTCAGTGCATGAATGCAATGCATCTTTTTTTTTTTTTTTGGCCATTTAACAAAGCAGTTGATGAATACAATGCATCTCGATCAATGTTGCCGCCCCCCCCCCCCATTATTCTCCCCCATCTCTCCCAACCCCGTCAAGTTCCCTGGTTTCATCCCAGGAGTTTATTAAGAAGCAGCAAGATCCAAACCTTTCCCCACTTGGCCCCTACCTCACGAAGGTGCCCACCCCTACACTAGACACACAAAGGACAATCAGCAGACAATGGATGGTGGGTGGGTGGAGGTGAAAACACAGGTCCTAGCCTTCTTGTGGTCATTTCCATACACTGGTGGGCACCAGGAAATGCAGGCAGAAACCTCAAAGGTTTTTCTTTCCTGGTCTTTGGATCTGTGGTCTCTTGCTGTCCCTGGAGACCATGGGCCTTAATGCATGAGAGAAAAGCAAGCCAGTGACCAGGTCATGAGTTAATTCGAGTAAGTCAAAGTAGATATTCTGGGTACCTGTGGGCCAGAGCTGAAAGATTGGGTTTGTTGTGCGCATATGTGCCCGGAAAGATGGGCTGCTGCTGTGCTGGTTGGAAGCAATGTTTCCTTCAGGGATTTGGCAACAACCAGATGGCTTTGGTGAAAGCCAGTAGGCTTTGGTCTATCTAGCCTTCCTTGTAGAAAGATCAGAGATGCAATTCAAGCTTTGGAGTGGGATGAAATGGCCCAAAGCTCCCTTCTGATGTAGACTGTCTGTGAGAGATGACGCTTGCAAAGTGCCTCATAGCTGCAGTTCCAGAGCATGACTTAAACGTGGGGGTTCAACCTTCCCTATTCGTGCGTGCATTCGGTGCCACGGCTGTGCAGACCCTGGGGACGGTGCACAGGTCCCGAGGAAAGGCTACCTCAGCACATTCCCAAGTTAGCTCGGCTCCATGGGCTTCAGGAGGCAGATGGATGGAAGGCTCCTTGCCCAACCCACTCAAATCCCCCCTCCCCCGGCTCTCCCTGCTCAAGATCAGATTGGATTCTCCAGTGCTGGGGGGCCAGAGCCGAGTCTGCATGAGGGAGCTTGAGAGAGGCTCTTTGGCGTCTTGATATCCAACCCCATCCATCTCCTGGCCTGACAGTTCCCCGTGGAACACAGCCTTGCAGTTAGAGCAGCACACTTGGCAGCCCAGCCCCCTGGCCTGAACCTATCTCGGTCTATAAGAGCCCTCTGTGTTTTCATGAATCCATTGTCATTAATTTAGAAAGGTTTTTAAAAAAAAAGTATCGAGCGTCTCTTCATACCAGGCATTGTGCCCTGGTTGGATAACGTGGTGGACAAAAGCAGACTTAACGCTGTTAGTCTGACACATACATATTCATGTGAAGCTTACAGTATGAAAGCAAGAGAAGAAGGTTGTTCCAATCACATCCACAAACAAATGGGCAAGATGTTCATCTGTGCCTGGGTGGGAGACAGGGAGGGAGGTGTTTGATCTCACCAGAGAAGCGAGGGAAGGTTTGTCTGGAGAGGCCATGCCCCATCCAGGACATGAAGCGGAGTAGCAGCAACTCGGGAAAGAAGAGAGAGAGGAGAGCTCATGGCAGAAATCTACCTCTACAAAGAGAATGAACCTGGAAAGGGGGAAGAGGCTGACGGAAAGAAGCCCAGAGATCAGAGACAAGAGTTCTGGAAGATTTCTAGGAACACAATCCAATGACCAAACTTGTCACTTTCAGAGAGCTTTTGCAGGAGATTAAGGAACAGGAAGGAAGCTCTTGAAACATTTAGATCTGTCTGTGTGTGTGTGTATGTGTGTGTTGAGACAAAGACAACCACAGTGGGACTGGAGTTGGCCAGCTTGTCCAGGGATTAGGGATTAGATGGATGTGGGTAACCATGAAAGATGGCACGATTGTACGGAGAGCAATCATGATGAGTGGCTAGAATGTGAAGAGATTTTCCACTGCTGAACGGTTAACATTTCACTAATGCTTACATCTTTTCCCCCATGACTCCCTACCAAGGAGAGAGGATGGAGACATAGAAGATGGAGTAATACGAGACAATGATTCCTCTTACACACCGCCCAATGTCTGCACATATTCTCACCGCAACCCCGGCCTCAGCTGCTGGCCCGTGCTTGACACTGTGTTACGCTTTTGCCTTTGCCCAGGGGCCCGAGTTCACCTGAAGTCTCTCATGCCTTCTCTAGACCCAAGAGAGCTTCTCTCCTCTCCTCGTGGGGTGAGACTTCCTGGGGAGACTGGACCGGAAGTGGAAGAAAAATCTCTGGGGCCTGACTCTTTGGAAGTGCTAGCTAGTGCCAACCCAATGCTGAAGAAATGGTCTCCAAGCAAAGCACCAGGGAGAGAGTATTTCCCAGTGCTTTGCTGCCCCTCTCCTCAAAAGGCCCATTGGTGGTCCATGGGGCCTCTGACCCATCGGGGCTCTGCTCTCTCTGTCCCGTTTCTCCCTGTATAAGATCCAGTCTAAGCTGGGCACCTGTGACACGTACCTGTCATCCTAGCTACTCAGGAGATATGAGATCTGAGGGATGTAGCTCAAAGCAGGAGCATCCACGAGATGCTTAGTTCCAGTTAACCACCCAAAAAGCCAGACGTGGAGTTGTGGTACAATTGGTAGAATGTAAGCCTTGAGTGAAAAGCAAAAGGACAGCACTCAGGCCCTGAGTTCAAATGCCAGTTCACACACACACACACACACACACACACACACACACACACAGACCCAGTTCAACAGCTTATCATCTGCACAGCTCCCCGCGCCGCACATGAGGTGACAAATACGGTAGGTAGGAGGAACTGTTGGACTCCCCCATTCCACAGTCCAGAGGGAGGGGTGACTCCTTCCTTCCTGGTGTCTCCCCACACCATAGCCCTGGAATGGGAAAACCAATATGGCGCCTCAGGTTCGATGCCCAGCTCTGACATCCACTCAGAGCAGGGCCTTGGATGTCTCCATTTTATGCCTCCGGGTCTCAGTTCTCAGATCTGGAAAATGGATGTAAGAATCCCTCTCCCCAGGGGCTTCTGGGAAGGAGGTGCCACAGATCAAGTACCTTGCTTGAGATGGTGACTCAGTAATGTTCAGGAATAAACGAGAACTATTATTACCCTACTGACTCCCCAGCACGCCTCCCCCTTTCTCTCTGCCCAGCTCACACCTTCCTGAGAGACCCTTCTCCAACACACACACACACTCACACTCACACACACACACACTCATGCTTCACCCCCACTCCCCAACATCCTTGACTCCTGGGTAGGAAGGTGCTGGCTCCGGCCTCCTTCCAGCTCATCCCACCTGCCAGAGCACCACCACCCGCCTTCCACTCTATAAATAATAAACCAGGAACTCAAGAGAGAGAGGGAAAAAAACCCATAATAAGTCAGAGAAGCAGAATAAATGCCAAGAATCGAAAGGCTTTGTCTTGCTCAGTCTCCTAAGTCCCAGCCTCTAGAGACGGGCCCCAGGGCCCTCTGTGCTAGAAATGAAGCACCCTCATTTCAAGCTCTCCTGATGACGCGCTCTGCCCTCCTGGGACCACTGGAATTCTTCCGCTTGTTATTTAACTCAGAGATGGAATTCGAATGTGGCTTTCTCCTCCCTGGTGGGCACCAGAAAGAAGCCGGTGAAGGAAGCCCGGGGAGAAGGAGGAGGAGGAGGAGGAGGAGGAGGAGGAGATTGGTTAATTGCTTCTCCCAAGTTTTGGGCCCTTTCCTCCTGCCTCATTCCAGAGCTAGGATTTGTTTCCGTCTCAGTGATAGAGCAGAGCCAGCAGGATGGGTGGTAGGGTCCCCTTCAGAGAGCTGGACACACCTAGAGGCCACAGTGGTGAGGGGAGGGAGGGCGAGTATTCTGAAGCAGATTGCCTGCTTTGGAACCGGTAGATCACTGTTACCTTGAACAAGTCAGCACCCTCCTCTGTGCCTCGGTTTCCGTGTGTGTGTGTGTGTGTGTGTGTGTGTGTGTGTGTGTGTGTGTGTGTGTGTGTGTGTGTGTGTGTGTGTGTTACTGGGGGACTGAACACAGCTCACAGTACTTTACCCACTTAAGCCATTCCTGCCAGTCCTTTGAGTTGTTGTTGTTGTTTGTTTTTGAGATAGCGTCTCACACCGACTTTGCCTCTGCTGGCCTCCAGCTGGTAACAATTCTCCTTCCTCCATTTCCTGAGCAGCTGAGATCAAAGCCACTACACTAGGCCAACTTCCTTATTTGTGACACGATGGTAATAACAAAGTCAGTTCACTGGTAAACACTCATCAAAGGAGTCAGCCCAGTGTCCAGTGTTTGTTCTGTGATAATGATCCTCAGATTTTACCGTCAGGCCTCGGAAAACTGTTTCATCAGCTCCACACTGAGAAGCATGTCCACGCCTTGGCCAGGCACGGAAGGTTCCAGAAGGAGCCTCAATGTGTGGACTGCGGCTTAGGTGGGAACAGAAAGCCAGGGTCCCCCGTCCTGACAGCTGCTTTCTGGAGGTCATTGGATCACCTCTCTGTTTGCTCTAACAGGGTTCTCCCTCCTCTCCCTAACACAATCACAGCCTAGTGAACGAGACTTTAGTGAGATTCTCCCCACTCCAGAAAGACGAAAGGAAAAGGGCTAGGGAGCTAAAGCAAACAGCAGTGTACAGCACCGCCACAAAGGCGTGGCACTTAGAAGAGCATTTTACAAGCATGGGAAAAACTCCTAATGGTGCATTAATCCATGCTGCCTGCCTGCCCGCTACAATAAAACAGGTAACAGGTTTGGGGCCATTTCCCAATGCTCCCTGGGACTCCATATCTTCTTTTCAAGTCAAAGAAGCATTCAGAATTAGAGTAACACTACAAAACATAAAAGTACAAGGGCCAGGGGCTGATGGCTCATGTGTGTAATCCTACCTGCTCAGGAGGCTGAGATCTGAGAAGTGTGATGTGAAGCCAGCCAGAGCAGGAAAATCTGTGATACTCTCATCTCCAATAAACTACCCCCCCCACACACACACACACACAAAAAGCCAGAAGTGGTGCTGTAGGTCAAGTGAGTGCTAGCCTTGAGCAAAAGAAGCTCAGGGACAGTGCCCAGGCCCTAAGTTCAAGCCCCAGGACTGACACCAAAACAAGGTTGATATCATCATTCCACAATGTGTACGTGTCTCAGACCATTCACATTGTACCTCACAAGTGCATATAATTACTGCCTGTCAAGGGTTAAACAAAATTAAAAAGAAGAAAAGAAGCTGGGCTCTGGTGGCTCCCGCCTGTAATCCTAGCTTCTCAGGAGGCTGAGATCTGAGGATCACGGCTCAAACAGAGCCCTGGCAGGAAACTCCGTGAGAATCTTATCAACAAACCAGCAAAAAGCCAGAAGTGGATCTGTGGCTCAAGAAGTAGAGCTCTAGCTTGCATAAAAAGAATATCCGAGGGACAGTGCTCAGGCCCTGAGTTCAATCCCCAGTGCCAGTACAACATAAAATAAGTATAAAAGAATATGAATGAGGAAAGGCCAATCATGGGGATCACCCTGAAGCCTGCCCCAAAAAACTAAATGGGGGGGGCTGTTTGTGGTCATCAGCCTGTGTTCACCGCAAGCATATCTGGGGGCGTCCATTCTACAAGTGCCTATGACACTGCCAGCATGTTCCCGGAGCCCCCCAAGAGTCATCCAGTCCAACCTCCACCCAGAGAAGGCATCTTATCCTAGAAAGGGAGCATCAAACCCTCCTTCGGTCTTCCTGGCCATTGGTTCCTATCACCAATTACAGCAGCAGCAAGGACCATGTGAATGGGGGTGAGCTGTCCTGGGTTTGAGGTCCTCACTGCCTCCTTATAAAGTCCTCAAACAGGCCAGCACAAGTACTCCCTCTGCAGGCATCTGGCACTAGTACTGCCTCTGCTGCTATCTGGCACAAGTACTGCCTTTGCAGGTATCCAGCACCAGTACTGCCTCTGCAGGCATCTGGCACCAGTACTGCCTCTGCAGGTATCCAGCACCAGTACTGCTTCTGCAGGCATCCAGCACCAGTACTGCTTCTGCAGATATCCAGCACCAGTACTGCCTCTGCAGGTTGGTATCCAGCACCAGTACTGCCTCTGCAGGCATCTGGCACCAGTACTGCCTCTGCAGGTATCCAGCACCAGTACTGCTTCTGCAGATATCCAGCACAGGATGCCCACAGCTCATTTTCTCTGGGCTACATAGTCCCAAGTTCCTTCCATCCATCTTCTGATGAACAGAATGCTGGCTAGATGCACAAAAGGACATTAACCCAGCATTTCCAGAAGTGCACCTTTGGATTCCATTAGATGCAGCTAATACTTCTCCCAAGTTGGCTTCCTTGGTCAAGTAAGATTGGGAAGGATTGGGAGTCTGTGGCAGAGTGCTTGTCTATGGTTCATGAAGCCCCGGATCCCGCTTTCTTGCTCATGCCTGGTGCTCTACCACTTAAGCCACATCTCCGCTCTAGGATTCTGTTGGTCAGCTGGAGATAGAGTCTCACATATTTTTCTACCTAGTCTGACTTCAAACCACAATCCTCCAGCTCTTCAGCCTCCTGGGTGGTTATAATTATAGGTATGAGCTACCAATGCCCTGCTGATAATAATTATTATTATCATTATAAGTATAGTAAGAATAAATAATATATAAAGTGTATAGTGTGTATTAATAATGAGTAAGCTTCCAGGCCGTGTCTCTAGCTCCTTCTTGTTTTGAGAGGGATGTTGAGGATGGGAGGTAAAAGTGGGAAGAAGCTTTGGCTTGTCTTCTGAGTCCTGGACTGGGTTAAAGGGGTGGGGAGAAGGCAGTACAAATACCGACCAGTGGATGGCAGCACAATCCAAGAAATAACATAAGTACCCATTTTCTCCCAAAGCAAATTGAATGTACCTGCCCCGTCTCTCTCCTAAATCTGCTCAGCTGTCTGGACTGGTGAACATTGTCTAAGCCACCGTTCCTCGAGTTGCCTCCCGAGGATCTACCACGTGCAAGACAGGAGACTGCCGTAAACACAGCTTGAGATGCGTGATCTCAGGGGCCTGGGCCTCTCTGCCCAGGGAGGGGGCCTGGAAGCCTTGTTATCAGCAGGAACGGCATTAAACTGCTCTCGCAGGGCAGTGCCCCCCCCCCCAGTGGTGATGGTATGTGTGTGTGTGGTGGGGGGACTCCTCAGAGGTGAAAAGCACTCTCTATATAAAAGCGCAACGTGCACGCAGCACAGATAGCTATGATATTCAAGTTTAATGGGAGAAGATAGAGGAAAAGTCAGGAAAGTCATGTTACATTTTTCCCTTTTCAGCATAGGCTATGTTTATCCAGACACTCCACCCTTGTTCCTAGGCCTATGGACCCGAATCTCCTCTCCCTCTCCCTCTCCCTTTCTCCCTCTCTCTCTCTCTCTCTCTCTCTCTCTCTCTCCCCCCCCTCCCCTCCACGTTGGCTCTTCTGTCACAGGTGGGTGTTTTTGCACGAGAAGGCCTACCAAGTGCGGGACACGGCCATCGAGTCTTCCGTGGTGACCAAGGTGAAGGGCTTCGGGCGCTACGCCAACAGAGTCATGGACGTGTCTGACTATGTGACACCGCCGCAGGTATGGAGGGGGGAGGACCTGCCCACCAAGGGATCCCGACATCTCACAGCTGGGAGCTGTTGGGCCTGCCCTCTGCAGCAGTGTGCTGGGCATCAGGATGCAGGGTTCCTCCCCGAGGCTGCCCCCCCCTTACCTAGAAGCCAGCCAGGTGGGGCGGAGGGGCTGCTGCATATGCTCTCTCTCCAGGGCACTTCTGTCTTTGTGATCATCACCAAGATGATCGTGACTGAAAACCAGATGCAAGGATTCTGCCCCGAGGTGAGGGGAAGGAGGGGGGCTGGGTGCATGAAGCGCGTCTAGGCAGGCCGCGCTGGATGGTGGGAGTGGGGCCTTCTGGGTGGCTCTGAGCACACTCTAACAGTCCAGCCTTGGAGCTGTGCTAGGGACCTCTGCCCTCTCACAGGCCGTGGGAGCTGAGGGTTGGCCAGGATGGGATGTGGGGGCGAGGGGACCTGAGGTCTTCACACCCTGGCGGCCTTGTCTCCCTTCCCCCCCTCCCATCCACACAGAGCGAGGAGAAATACCACTGTGTGTCTGACAGCCAGTGTGGGCCTGATCGCTTCCCCGGTGGGGGTGAGTGCAGCCCCTCCCTCCCCTCACAATCCCCACGGGTGTTAGTGGGGCCTGAGAGGGAGAGCCCACCTAGGAGAGGCAGCAGAAGCCAGCCAGCCATTTAAAGCAGTTGCCTGGGTGCCATATTCTGCAAGGGGAGGGGGAGGGGCCGCAAAGGCAGCCTGGCCTTCCTCCTCCCAGGAGTTGGGATGAGTGTGGCAGAAAAGGATGGGAAAGGTACAACAAGGGTCCTTAAGGAGATACAGAAGCCTGGGGATTGGGGCGTGGGGGGCGGTGTGGGGGGTAATGGGCTGGGCCCAAGAAGAGGATTTGGCAGAATGGCAAGGGCTTCTTCTTCTTCTTTCTTCTTCTTCTCTTCTTCTCCTTCTTCTCTTCTTCTCCTTCTCTTCTTCTTCTTTTCTTCTTCCTCTTCTTCTTCCTCTTCTTCTTCTTCCTCTTCTTCTTCTTCCGCTTCTTCTTCTTCTTCTTCTTCTTCTTCTTCTTCTTCTTCTTCTTCTTCTTCTTCTTCTTCTTCTTCTTCTTCTTCTTCTTCTTCTTCCCTCCTCCTCCTCCTCCTCCTCCTCCTCCTCCTCCTCCTCCTTCTCCTCCTCCTTCTTCTTCTTTTTGTTGGTCATGGAACTTGTACTCTGGGCCTGGACGCTGTCCCTGAGCTCTTCAACTCAAGGCAAGCTCTCCCACTTGAGCCACAGCAGCACTTCCAGTTTTCTGGTGGTTCACTGGAGATAAGAGTCTCATGGACTTTCTGCCTGGGCTGGCTTTGAACCTGGATCCTCAGATCTCAGCCTCCTGAGCAGCTAGGATGACAAGCATGAGCCACCAGCACCCGACAGGCAAGGGCTTCTTAAAGAACATCTGTGGCCAGGCACCAGGGGCTCACGCCTATAATCCTAGCTACTCAGGAGGCTGAGATCTGAGGATCCAGGTTCGAAGCCAGCCCAGGCAAGAAAGTCCATGAGACTCTTCTCTCTAGTGAACCACCAGAAAACCAGAAGCAGCACTGTGGCTCAAAGTGGTAGAGTGTTAACCTTGAGCAAAAGAATACAGGAACAGCACCCAGGCCCTGAGTTCAAGGTCCAGAACAGAGAGAGAGAGAGAGAGAGAGAGAGAGAGAGAGAGAGAATCTCAAGCAGAAGGAACAGCTCAGAGGCACAGGAAAAGGAGCAAGGAGAGGAAGGCCTCTCAGGGAAGTTGGGGACTGGGCCTGTTAAAGGAAGGCTGCCACCCCTCGGTGACTTGTTCTGAGGCCTGGGAGGAGAGGAGAGAGGCAGAGCGGTCAGCTGCCCTTACCCTGCCGTCTCTTCCACCTGTGGGGGGCGGGGAGTGTCAAGGGGCATGTGGTCACCAGCTTTGTGCCACCCGCCCCACCCACCCACCCAGGAATTCTCACGGGCCGCTGCGTGAACTACAGCTCTGTGCTCCGGACCTGTGAGATTCAGGGCTGGTGCCCCACCGAGGTGGATACCGTGGAGATGTAAGGACTGGATCCAGAATGAAGGACAGAGGACCCGGCTGGTCCCCTTTGTGCCAATGTGGGCTGCTGGGAGCCTGTCTGAGCTTGTGGAGGGGAGGTGGCCTCAGGGTGTCAGCCCTCCCCCACCGCCCCATCTCCCCACCCCTCCTCTCCCTCTCACCTTTGGATCACAGCCAGAGAGGGCCTTCCCTCCCCCCTCCCCCCCACCCCCACACACCATGCAAGAGCTAAGGTCCCTGTGCGCATCCACAGGCCGGTCATGATGGAAGCTGAAAACTTCACTATTTTCATCAAGAACAGCATCCGGTTCCCCCTCTTCAACTTTGAGAAGTGAGTGGGTCCTGCCTTCTTCAGTCTCATCCTGGGGCTCCTCCCACTCCTGTCCTCCCCCCCCCCCAAGCAGCAGGGCTGGACCACCCAGTTACCAGGTGGCCTCAGGGCCCATTGGGGTTCAGATGCCCCTCCTTGGGTGTGGAAGCACCCGGAGCCTCACAGAGCTGGGAGGAGAGTTGGTGTGAGGTCTTTGCATTCACCCTGGGCCCTGCCTCTCTCCTCCCCTCTCCCCTCCAGGGGAAACCTCCTGCCCAATCTGACAGCCGGGGACTTGAGGACCTGCCGCTTCCACCCCGAAAAGGCCCCTTTCTGCCCCATCTTGCGGGTAGGGGACGTGGTCAAGTTTGCAGGGCAGGATTTTGCCAAGCTAGCCCGCACGGTGAGCACCTAACCTAGAAGCTGAGCCTGACACCCCCCCCCCTCCCCCTCTGCCCTCCCCCCTCATCTTCAGGGCCCTAGGATGGCTACAAGGATGCTGGGAGGGAGTTTGTGGTGAGACAGCGCCACCTGGTGGAAGCATCTTGGGCCTGCAGCTGGCTTTGTTCTGAATCCTTTTGTCCACCCCAGGCCTGAGTGGTCTTGCCTTCCATCACCCACTCCCCCAAGCTTCAGTTTCCCCAGTTTTCCTCTCCTCCTCCCTTCCACATCTCTAGAGAAAGGCCTTAGAATGTTTGATAAGGAGCCTACTCTGGCTCCGTCGCTCACACAGGTAATCCCACCTCTTGGGAGTCAGGGGGATCTACCTTCCACCCAGAGAACAGAAGAAGTCATTCTTTCCAGAGGGCGACCCTCTTCCTATGTGGAGAGCAGGGGAGAGTTCATATCTGGTCCCTCTCTTCAGGGTGGTGTTCTGGGCATCAAGATCGGCTGGGTCTGCGATTTGGACAAGGCCTGGGACCAGTGCATCCCCAAATACTCCTTCACGAGGCTTGATGGTGTTTCTGAGAAGAGCAATGTCTCTCCTGGCTACAACTTCAGGTAAACCTTCGCTCTTCTGCGACTTGAGAATAAGGTAGAAGTGGTTCCAGAGAATTTCATTTCAACCAGCAATGCATGTTGGGAGAAAAAAGTTCCCTTCGGGGAAGGACTTGAACTCATTCAACTATTCAGGGTAGAGGGATGGAGGGATGCAGGAGTGGATGGATGGATGGTTGGATAGATGGACAGATGGATGGATGGATGGATGGATGGATGGATGGATGGATGGATGGATGGATGGATGGTGAGGGTTAACATCACTAAAGGGAGAGGGATCAAGTCAAAGATTCTTCTCAGGTCAATCGACCAGATCGTCCAGATCTTCCAAAATGCCAGGAAGCTTCTTCAACTGTTCTTAGCTCTGGCCTTCTCTTGGTGATGTCTAGTTAGCTACATTCCCTATCCTGACTTCTCTAAGGTCTTTTACTCCCCCAAACAGAGGTAATAGCCAGTCCATTTTACAAGATGGTAGTTTGTTTTTAAGTCTCACACCAGGGAATTCCATGAGTCACAAATAACAGGTATAATAACCATTACTTTTTCAGTGGCTTTTGGGGAAAAAAATAATTTAAGTTGGTTTTTAAATATCAGCTAATTTATGCCCCCAATGGCTTTGGGATCTAAGCCGTTTCTTTCCCCTCCATCTGGTGGAAAAGGGAAAGGGAAGAGCCACAAGTATTTAAAATACCTGAAGGGGGCTGGGAAGGTGGCTCAGTGGTAGAGCGCTTGCCTTGCATGCATGAAGCCCTGGGTTTGATTCCTCAGCACCACATAAGCAAAAAGAAAAAAAGCCAGAAGTGGCGCTGTGGCTCAAGTGGTAGAGCGCTAGCCTTGAGCTGAAGAGCTGAGGGACAGCGCCCAGGCCCAGAGTTCAAGCCCCACGACTGGACCCAAAAAAAAAACAAAAAACCTGAAGGCCCTTACACAGTCCTTAGCCTCCTCCTCTCTGAATTTCCTCATCTGTGACCCTCTGGTGATTTTGTGTTCTTATGGATGCTATTGGCCAACACATGAAACAATCTGGCTGTTCTTTCTTTAACTTTTGAAGATCCCAAAGTTTCTGCTAGGTCTTAATTAATTACACTGTTAGAAGCTGAAGCTGCTTTAGAAAACTAAGTAATGATTGGGTTGATCATGGGAGACTTACATACTTTTTTAAAATTGTTGCATGTTATCTATTTTTTAAGGTTGGATTTGTTCCCTGTGTTGTAGGGGTATTCTTCATTAAAATGATCTATAGGGCTGGGAAGGTGGCTCAGTGGTAGAGCGCTTGCCTTGCATGCATGAGGCCCTGGATTCGATTCCTCAGCACCACATAAGCAGAAAAAAGCCGGAAGTGACACTGTGGCTCAAGTGGTAGGGCATTAGCCTTGAGCTGAAGAGCTGAGGGACAGCGCCCAGGCCCAGAGTTCAAGCCCCATGACCAGCCAAAAAAAAATTTTTAATGATCTATATAACCCACCTTTACAACTTAAAAATAATAATATTTACAACTTAAAAAATAATCTCCCAGAGACTGGTTGCTGGTGACTCACTAACACCTGTAATCCTAGCTACTCAGGAGGCTGAGATCTGAGGATCATGATTCCAAGCTAACCCAGACAGAAAAGTCCATGAGACTCTTACCACCAATTACCCAGAAAAAAAACACACACACCTGGAATTGGAGGTGTGGCTCAAGTAGTAGAGTTCCAGCCTAGAATGAAAAACCCAAGAGAGAACACAAGATTCCAAGTACAAGCCCCAGTACCAACACCCCCCCAAGACATTTTTTTAAAAACTTATCTTATAAGCTTTATATTTAAGAGTTTAAATATATATACATAATATTTTGAGCTTCTTTGCTTCTACTTCCTCTGTGTGAAGACCAAGGTACTCCTCTACACTCTGTCTCCCTGTATTGTCCTGTTTTGCTAAATAAATCCTTGTTAATATACATGCATGTATATGCACTACCATATCACATATATATGATAGCATGTATATAAATGGTATATATATGTGTATATATATATATATATATATGATATGGTAGTGCACACCTGTAATCCAGCTTGGGAAGTTTAAGTCTGAGCTCCACAGGGAGACCCTGTCTCCAAAAAGAAAAAGAGAAGAAGGAAGAAAGACAGAACTAGAAGATAAATTATATATACACATATATATGTTCTCTGAAAAGAAGAATTTTTAAAAATTGAAATTGCTTTCATAATCAACTCCAGAGTTTAAAAAACCATAGGAAACAACACATATTTTAAAGTAGGTTAAAAATACTGTTTGGCTCACTGGCAGAAATTGGCATATTTATTCAGTCAGTGCATCACACTGAAATCAATACAAAGGATATTTGTATGGTAGCTTAAAAATAGTAACATATTTTAATAAAATTCTCATGATCTGGAAGGCAAGTTTTCATCCTCATAACTTCCCTATGGCCTTTGGGAATTATTCAATCCTCCAAATAACACATTTGGCAGGAATGCTTATAAAAACTATGACTATTATTCTGTGTGTGTGTGTGTGTGTGTGTGTGTGTGTGTGTGTGTGTGTGTGTGTGTGTGTGTGTGTGTGTGTCTACACCAGTAACCAGTACTGGGGCTTGAACTCAGGGCCTTACACTCTCAATTGGCTTTTCTGCTCAAGGCTGGTACTCTACCACTTGAGCCACACTTCCACTTTGGGCTTTTTGCTGATTAATTGGAGGGTAAAAGTCTCTCAATTTGTCTGCCTGGGTTGGCTTTGAACTGGGATCCTTCGGTGTCAGCCTCCTGAGGAGTTAGATTACAGACATGAACCACCATGCCTGGCAAAAACTGTATTATGAACCACCAACTACTTGTGTCATATAGTTTTCAAACAATGCCTTTCATTTAAAGAATGGGTTTGGAGGGCTTTACCTGAATTCATCATGCCTGTCCCGCATGGCCCAGTTCTAGTCCTAAATAAGTTTGCGTTGGGTTTTGGGAGACAGGACAGAGGATTTCTAGAGATTCTGACAGCATACTTCCCAGAGCTTACAGGAAAGATCTGGAAGGTGTGGGTCCCTCTGAGGACCCACTGACGCCTCCAGTAGACTATGGAAGGGGGCAAAGGAAACTTTCAGAGTAAGACCTTTGTGAAAGAAGTTTACAGAGGAGCTAGGAGCTGGTGGCTCACACCTGTAATTCTAGCTACTCAGAAAGATGAGATCTGAGGATTGTGGTTCAAAGCCAGCCTGGGCAGGAAAAATCTCTGAGACTCTTATCTCCACTTAACCACCAAAAAAGCCAGAAGTCAGTAGAGCTGTGGCTCAAAGTGGTAGAGCACTAGCCCAGGCCCTGAGTTCAAGCCCCAGGGCTGACATAGATAGGTAGGTAGATAGATAGATAGATAGATAGATAGATAGATAGATAGATAGATAGATAGATAGATAGATAGATAGATAGATAGAGCATAGAGTCAGGGTGGTCTCTGACAGGGTAATCTCATGATACCCTTATGACTTTTGTTGTTGTGGTTGATTGTGGGACTTGAACTCTGGCTCTACCCCTGGAGCCACAGCGCCACTTCCAGTTTTCTGGTGATTAATTGGAGATAAGAGTCTCACGGACTTTCCTGCCTAGGCTGGCTTTGAACCATGATCCTCAGCTCTCAGCCTCCTGAGTAGCTAGGATGACAGGCATGAGCCACTGGTGCCCAGCTCCTGCTACTCTTCAGATTCTCATAAAGCTCCACTTGTGTAAGAATGAGGCATTACCCTGTGTACAACACAATCTGTGTATTTTGGGCAGTTATTCCTCACCCCACTCAACAGATGAGAAAACTGAGGCTCACAAGGTGAAATCAATTTCCCAAAGCCACAGATACAATAAGCTTAGGAGGCCAGGTGCAAATATATATATTTTTTTCTTAGTTGATCACCAACCCAAGCAGGCAGGCCAGGGAAATTCATATTTGCTAATCCTTGGGGAGGGACGGATGGAGTGAAGAGGAGGTCTTTCCTGCATAAGAGATACTTAGAGCCCTGCCCTGGCTGGCTTTGAACTATGATCCTCCAGGCTTCCGAAGCTAGGATCGTAGGCATGGGCTCCTAGCACATTGACTTATTTCTACCACGACTCTTTCCAAGCACATTGAGAATGCACTGGGTGAGATCAGATGGAGTTTTAGTGGACAGCGTTATTAGCATTTCTAAAAATAAGAGCAGCGGAATCTCCCGTGCATGCCAATCCTCTGGTGTGCGTGTGGGTGCGTGGCGGGGTCCTGCAGCCGAGACAGGAGCTCTTAGCTCCTCGGCGCCCTGGTGCAGGAGTTGTGAGCTAGGCCAGCCATTTGCTGTGCGCGTGAGGGCATGAGTGTGCATGTGTGTATTGGCAGGTGGGTGGGTGGGTGTGTTTGCTCGTGGGTGAACGTGTGAGGCCGAGGGAGCACGTGTCGCTGTGAGTGTGCGTGAGCACACAGGCATTGGTGGTGCAGTGGCAGATTAACAATACTGTATCTGTCAGGGTCTCAGCAGGAAAACAGATGGCACATGCAAATTGGGTAATTTGAGGAGACTTTAATGAAGGGACTGCTTTGAAGGTGTGGGCAGCAGGTAGGGAAAACCACAGAAGACACCCCCTGGGGCCTGGGGACAGGACCTGGGTTAGTGCCACCGGATCTGAAGGGGCGAGGAAAAGAGGCCGTTGATGGAAATGGAGCAAACAGAGGCATGTGCAACTCAGGGACCATGGCCAGGGAGTGTGTCCCGGGCAGCCAGGGCAGGGAGGAGCATGGACAGAGCGAGTACCTTCAAGGAGAGAGAGGGGGTTCAGTCCAAAGTCCTAAGAACATCTCATCTGTGAAATCAGAGCCCTCTTCTAACTCACAGAGGTTCAGTCTCTTTGTGCCCTGGGTGAGGTGGAACATTGCCCAAGAAAAATGCACGGTTCAGGGGCTGGGAAGATGGCTCAGTGGTAGAGTGCTTGCCTTGCATGCATGAGGCCCTGGGTTCGATTCCTCAGCACCACATAAGCAGGGGGAAA